TAATTTTAAATTATTTTTTGTCAAGATGGTTTTCAAAGTTAATTAATTATTACAGAGGGAAAAGTGAAGTAAATAAAATGTCTTTTTGCACCATACTCAAATTCTTTGTAAGAGGTGAAAAGATTGAAAACTGAGCTATTGCCTCTCAAATAGTTTCTTGAGTTCAAAATTTCTTGAGCTATTGGAAAGTTTCTGAGTTCGAAATTTATTCTCTCAAATAGTTTCTTTAGTACAAAATTTCTTAGCAGTTTCTCAAATAGTTAGAAAGCACTTTTAGGTCTCTAAGTTAGCTTCATTTTTCTAGAGTCTTATGGAATGTGATGTTCCTTTAGAAGTATTTATAAAATAATTACTAATTTCTAATTTTCCATAAGTGAGAAAGAGAGAAAATTGCTTGTTACAGTCTATATTTTCTGGAGTTCATATTTCTAATTTAAGGAGTTCATATTAATGAAGTTGTTGCAGAGAAAATTTATCATAGGCTCAGTTAATATTTTAAAGGTACCATTTGAAAATATTATTGAGTAATCCTTTGGTCAATTCTGTTACTCATCAATATGTTTTTACTTTTTAAGTTAGCTAAATAAATAGTTACAAGTTGACTTACAATCCAGTTGATTTAATCAATATTTTTCTTTAACATTGACCCCATTTACTATCTCCAATTATTATTATTATTATTATTATTATTATTATTATTATTATTTTTTTTTTTTTTTTTGCAAAAATTGCTGCCAATATAAACTTTTTTCTTTACTTTCTAATTCTCATGATTCCGATTGTTTCTATTTTATCGTTTTGTGGATATGTTGAACTTTTTTGTAAAAGGACCGAGTAAGTTGGTGCTATTGGATTTAGAAGAGGAGTGAAGGAAAAGCTGGTAATTTTAAGCACACGTTGAGCAATTGGTAAATAAACCAAATGACAAATGTTAACTTTTTCTTCCAATACTTTAGGAGTTGAAATATAAGCATATGTGTTTATTCAAATTATTCCACTTCATCACTCACCAACACATTTGTTCTATGTATTCATTCAGCAATCACTACACACTTATACTTCACGTTCATCCTCAACTAAATCAACTAACATGCACCCAACTATACCAACTAACGTGCACGCACGTTGCCACACTAGTTTTACAATAAATTCGGTTGGATGTCTTGTTCAAGTTACATATTTTTGTTTGTACCTTTTTCCACGCAATGAAAGATGCTAAGGTATTGTAGTAATTAAAAGTTAACATCAACTCATAAATTTTTAAGCTATATGCTTAATATATATTTTAATTGTAACAGATGCAAACCATGGTTATGGTTGTTTTGCTAAATATCATTGGTCTTGATATGATCATTCTACTGACTCAGTTTCTAGTGGAAGGCGACAATATGTTACAATTGTTGTATGAATTTTCCTTGTCTATATTAACATTTGTTGCACCTTTTGTTTATTGTGGTAATTTAATATATTTTCTCTATGTTGTCATAATTAATTAAAGTTATTATAATAATGTCGATGTATTTGACGTGCAGAGACAAGTTATTTGAACAAAAGGCCTCAAATAACTATCATTCCTTCTATCACTTTTTCCTTACTTTAAATGTTGTTTTGTGGTTCTTCTATGGCATATTAAAAAATGACTACTATATTTATTTCAGTAAGTATATATATTTAGAATATTATTTACAATTCGAATTGATTTTGAATATGATCTTTTTGTGAATAGATTCTGAATATGCCCGGGTTCAGCTTTAGTATACTTCTAATGATGCTCTATTTCTTATACAAGAATGTAAAGGAAAAAGTCTACGTGGAAAAGATCGGAATCATTGCATTGGAAGATGGCAATTGAGATAATTAGATTGGATTAATGAAACAATGAGAGTTAATTCACTTGTTTAAGATGCCTTCGGCCCTTTGGATGCACCACTTAATCTAGATATTCTTGCACATATCTTCACCATATCAAGAAATCAACAATGTTTCAATATGTTAATATTACTAATCTAGAATATACTTGGTTGTGATTAAAATATTTTTTTAGTGTTTTTTGAGATAATTTTGTGTGCTATTTATTGGGACAGAATATAAGTCACTCATAGTCAATATATTTTCGTCAGTGATTTTTTAAATAAAAAATAATATATAATATTTACAGTGGTATTATCACAAGTGGATTTTAAATCAAAATAAAAATTGTATAAGAAATCCAATGAATATTTAGGTAGATTATTCATTTGTAATGTTTTGCTGTCACAGATACATAAAATAAATTGTTGATGATAGTTGCCACAGAAATCCATCAATATGTTTTACGGACATGTAAGGTAAACTCACCGTTTATCACTGACGGTTATGTTGCTGTCAATAAATTATCGCAATGTACCTTGAAGGAAAAATTATGTCGATAATAGGTTTTTTGATGAAATATTGGTCTTTTGCATTGAAAATATCCATTGCTAAAGTTGCTATTTCTAGAAATGTTTCATAGCCCATAATATTTTTTTTTCATAGTCTTTTAACAATAAATTAATATAGAAAACAATTTTTTCTTTTGCATACCAACATTTTATCAAATTCTACAAAAGGATGTATATTATGCATTTCAAGACAAACGCCACTCTTTTGATTAAAATAAACTCAGTTGCATGTCTAATTCAAATTATATATATATATATATATTTGTTTGTACTCTTTTTACGAGAAGAAAGATGCTAGGGTATTGAACTACTTACAATAAACTCGGAGGAGTTCATTTTTTGTTTGTCTTGTCTTTTCTCTATTAGTATTTGTTGCACCTTTGTGCATTGTGGTAATTTAGATATTTCTCTATGATATGATAATTAATTAATGGTAGTACTTTTAATATTGATGTTTCTAACTAGTAGAGACAAGTTATTTGAAAAAAAAGTGTGGAATATATATCATTCCTTAATTGATATTGAATACGTTCTTTATAGATTTCGAATGTGCTCAAGTTCAATTTTAGTATTCTTCAAATGACGTTCTGTTTCGTATACAAGAATGCAAAGGAAAAAGTCAATGAGGAAAAGAACGAAATCATTGCGTTGAAAGATGACAATTCTAATTATCATATTTTAGTGAAATATAACAATGCTTGCTAATTCTCATGCTTGAGCTGTCTTGGACAACTTGGATCCTTCCCTAATTCTAGATGTTCTTGCACATATCTTCACCATATAGGGAAATCAACATGGTTTCAATATAATAACATTTCTAATCAAGAATGTATTTGATGAATATTAAAAGAATCTTTTAGGGTGTTTATTCAGAAAATTTGAATGCTATTTACTTGGAAAAATTTTGAGCTACCATCACTACGTTTTTATAGATTATCCATAGGTAATTTTTGAAAAAAAAAAAATAATATCTAATATTTGTGGGTGGTATTACTATAATTGAATTTCAAATAAAAAAATAAAATTTATATAAAAAACCGACGATGTATATTTTAGTAGGTGATTCATTGGTAATAGTTGCCTTGCCCTATTATAAAAAATAAATTGTTGTTGATAGATACCAAAGAAATCCGTCGATGGACATGTATATGAAGTTAAATCCATTGATAATCACCGACAGTTATGCTATCGACGAAAAATTACTGACAAGACTTTCACCATCGGTATGTACCGCGAAGAAAATATTTTATCGATAAGTAGGGTTACCAACGGAATATTGACTTTTAGCAACAAAAATATCCATCATTGAAGCTGGTGTTTCTAGTAGTTTTAGCCACCAATTTTGTAACACCACACTATCGAGGGCCCTGTATAATTAATGCTATATTTATGTTCTTTAAGAATGTAGTGTAATTATCTAAACATTAATTTGACTGTCTGGCCATAAAAGTTGTTATAAACTAATGATTATTAAAATGGATGGTCCAGAGATGCTTTGACGACCTCAAGTGCCTAACTGATAAATAGTTATTGTATTGCGAAAAATGTGTGTCATATTTTTTTGTTATAAATCACTGTATAAATGTTATTATTTTAATCTGCTTTTTATTTGATAACTATTGATAGTGCTTATGGACTTATATGCCTATAACATTCTATGTAAAAAATTGACAAATTGACAAATAAGTTGTGCATTTTGAACGAGTATCTTAGGTAATTATTTCTATTATAGTAATAATTATTTCTATTTACTGAATGCGGAATTATGCATATGTTTTAATTCTTCAAACATAATTATTCCACTGTTCGAATCATCGAATTTTTAAGTAGCCCGTTGACCCATTTGCCCTTGACCCAACTGGATTTTTTTTCTCTCTCTCTCTCTTTTAAACCTATTTTCTCCTCGTTCCAGTTTCTCAATTCACGTTATTAGGCCATTCTTCTTCCAAAATCAAACTCCTCTGTCGCCATCTCCAATTCAATCACTCCCACAAATCTAAATTTCCAATTTCAAGTCTCAAGAGATGGAAGAAGAACCGTTCAGCATGAGACTAGTAGAAATAGAGTTTGACTGGTTAGTTGAAAATATTCTTGCGTTAGATTTCAATTTTTAAGGATAAGATATAGTAAGTTGTTTTTGTGCAATTTAATAAGTTGTTTTGTTATATAAAAAACATCCATGTGTTCATTTAAGTGTCACTGGATCAGCTACTTACTTCACAAGTAACAAATACTGCAAGTGATGGTTTATCCGAAATAACGATATCCGTATCTCGTTATTGTTTACAACCACGGATAATATAAGATCCAGTCATATGTAATTTATATCTCACAATCACAATTTCTTGTGATTAATGTGGAAATTTATCAATTCAAACTATATAGAAACCTCCCATTGCAGGAGCTCGAGAACAAAGAAAATCTGATGAAGAAGATGAAGAAGGAAAGAAACTTTATTAATCAAGCTCTTGCTTTTATGAATTACATTTGGCTATTTACAGACAAGCCAAATAACCAACCAACTAACCCACTAACTGAATTAACTATTTAGCTGACTGAAATTTAAACTGAATTAAGTTGCTAGTCTGCGTCTTCTTCTGGAGACTTCTTTACTTCTTCTGATGGTTTAGTTGTATTGTAAGAGCCCCCCTCAAGAGGGGCATGGATGTTCAGAATGCCTATCTTGGATATATTGGTGTGGAACATGATAGAACCAAGTGGTTTAGTAAGAACATCCGCGAGCTGATGGTGGGAAGGAACATAATGATTTTGATTAAACTAGAATGTGGCTTTTCACGAACAAGGTGGTAATCTATCTGAATATGTTTGGTCTTCTCATGATGAACATGATTTGAAGCAATTGAGAGAGTTGATTTATTGTCTGTGTATAAAAGTGCTGGTTGAGGATGAGAAATGCCCATATCATGAAGAAGATAAAACAACCATTGTATTTCACAGGTGGTGGATGCTAAGGCTCTATACTCAGCTTCAGCCGAAGACCTACTTACTGTGGATTGCTTCTTGGATTTCTATGAGACCAAAGGATCCCCAAGAAAGATGGCAAAACTAGTAATGCTGCGTTTGGTATCAAGACAACCGGCCCAATCACTGTCACTATAAGCTTTGAGGTGTAAATTAGAGTTGGAAGGAAAGAACAACCTTTGACCTGGAGTAGCTTTAAGATATCTAAGAACCCTGTGAGCAGCATTTAGATGAGATTGAGCTGGACTGGACATGAATTGATTGAGAACCTGAACAGAATATGCTAAGTCAAGCCTTGTAATGGTGAGATATATTAATTTGCCAATCAGCCTTCTATAACTAGAAGGATCAGATAATTGGTCTGCATCTTCTAACTTGAGCTTGAGATTAGAATCCATAGGAAAGGCCACTGGTTTGCAGCCAGAAAAACCAAAATCTTCGAGGACATCTAGAGCATATTTTCTTTGACAAAGACTGATTCCATGCTTCGACCTAGCAACCTCCAAACCAAGAATGTAATGCAACTCTTCTAGGTCTTTGATTGTAAACTAATTATCCAGGAAACGCTTGACATGAATTGCATGAAGATTATTACTTGCAAGAAGGATGTCATCAACATAAACCAAGAGTACAATAAAGGAATCAGTGGTGGATTTCATGAATAAAGATGAATCAGACTTAGATTGATGAAAACCATATTAAAATTAAACTGGAAGTTAATTTGGAAAACCACTGGCGAGAAGATTGCTTAAGACCTTATAGACTTTTATTGAGTTTGCAAACAAGGGAAGGATCTTGAGAGGGATAACTTTGTGGTAGATCCATGTAGACCTCTTCATGTAAATCCCCATGAAGGAAAGCATTGTTGATGGTGCACATACCAGTTATTTACAGCTGCAACAGTTAAAAGAACCCGGATAGATGTCAACTTTGCAACAGGGGAGAAGGTGTCAAAGAAATCCAACCCTTCTTGTTGCGTGTATCCTTTGGCAACCAGACGTGCCTTGTATCTTTCTACAATACCATCTGGTTTAAACTTTACTTTATACACCCATTTGCAACCAATGGTATGTTTGTTCGGTGGCAGATTAGTGAGGGTCCATTTATTATTCTTTTCAAGAGCCTGAATCTCAAAATTCATGGCAACTTGCCAGTGAGGAAATTTGATGGCTTGACCATAAAACTTAGGTTCAAAAACATTAGAAATAGAAGCAACCAAAGCTTTGTGTTTGGGGACAAGTCTGTCAGTAGAGATAAAGTGAGAAAGAGAGAAAGGTTTACTAGAAGTAGAGCGTCTGGCCAGCAACATGGAAGGCTGGATTGCATTAGAAGAAGGTAAATCACAATGGTAGTCATGCAAATAGGAAGGTGGATGTTTAGTTCTGTTAGATTTTCTGGGATGAGGTAAGTTGTCAATTGATGGAGGAATAGGAGAAGCATGGTCAGATATTGTATCGAGATTATCATGTGACTGATAATTGCTAGTGTCTTCTGATTAGTTTGGTTGTGATATATGAGGATAAGTAAAATCAAAGGATGGTTCAGATATAGGAAATAGATGAGCATCTGTAGAGGAATGAGGTGAGGAATTTTTATAGGGAAAAGAGGTTTCATGGAAGGTAACATTCCTACTAACAAAAGTCTTGTGATTTTCCAAATCATAAACCTTGTAGCCTTTGTATCCAAGGGCATAACCCACAAATATACATCTAGATGCCCGAGGAGAAAATTTAGTTCTATGATTACTAAGTGTACTTGCAAAGCATAGGCATCCAAATGTTTTGAGATGATCATAGGCTGGTGGTTTTTGAAAGAGCATCTAGTAAGGAGTTTTGTTACCAAGGATTGGAGATGGGATACGATTGATAATGTGTACTATTGTAAGGATGCAATCACTCCAAAAAATAAGAGGTACATTAGATTGAAAAAGGAGTGCCCTTGTGTGTTTTCTCTCCACAATTCCATTTTGTTGGGGGGATGTCACACGACTTCTTTGGTTGATAATTCCACAAGAATTATAGAAATCTAACATAAGAAATTCAGCCCCATTGTCAGTTCTAAAAGTCTTTATTTTTGCATTAAATTGTGTAAAGACCAATTGATAAAAATTCTTCATATGGCTACGGGCTTCAGATTTAGAATGCATCATGAAAACCCACGTGCATCTTGAATAGTCATCTCATCAACTATGGTTAAAAAAAATCTGTAACCCTCAAAAGAAGACACATGGAAAGGACCCCATATATCACAATGTACCAAATCAAAGATTTTATTAGAAACTGAAATACTAACGGGAAAAGGCAACTTTTTCTGTTTTGCCAAAGGACAAATTTCACATTTATGGAGATTTTTACAAGAATATGAGAAGACATGCAAGGGATTTTAGACATTCTTGTACTGGATATATGTCCAAGCCTGCAATGCCATAGATTGTAATTGAGTTTCTGAGAGACATGAGCTGTGGAACTACTGGGGATGGATAGGAGTGTAGGTTTGTCTTGAGCAGTAATGAGATGATAAAGGCCATCCTTTTCCTTAGAAAAACCAGTCATCCTCTTGTTGGCTAGATCCTATATGAGACAAAGTGAAGCAGAGAAGATTACATGGAAATTGTAAGATTTGGTTAGTTTAGAAACCGATATCAAGTTAAATGAAAAAGAGGGCACACACAAGACATTATCAAGAAGCCAGATATTTGGACTTTCCCAACATGACCGATTGGGACAGAGGAACCATTTGGTAAGTGGACTTTGGTGGTTGTGGCTGAATCAATTGAGGTGAAAAATGTAGGTGAACATACCATATGGTCAGTCGCACCTGTGTCAATTATCCAGGTGATGATTTTGGGTTTAGAAAAAATTGAATTGCAAAGTGAGATACCTGTAGTGATGGTGGCTGCTGTTTGAGGTATTGTGTTGGGTGGTTGAGAAGATTTTTGTTGAGTTTTAGCAAATGCCAAGAATTGTTGATAGAGGTCTTGATTGAATGTGATACTTGGTCCCTTATCTTCTGTAGATTGATCCAAGTTTACAGCATGAGCAACAGGGATGTCGGTCAAAGTTCTTAGACCTCTAGTTCCCTTCCAGCCAGGAGGATATCCTATGATTTTAAAGCACTTATCAGCAGTATGATTGAGATATTCACAGTGGGTACACTTTTGTTTCTTCTTGTCCTTCCAGGGAAGAGCTTTATTGAATGTTCTTTGCGGTTGTCTTGCTGTCATTGCTACTGATTTTGGGGATGAGTAATTCTGCAAGTCCCTTTGACTCTCTTCTTGAAGCAGAAGAGCATAGACTCGAGCCAGTGATGGAAGAGGAGAAGTAAGTAGTAATTGACTTCTTAGTGTAGAATAAGATTCATTTAATCCAATAAGGAATTTCATGACGGCATCTGATTGTTGAGTGCTTGATATATTCTTCAATATATCACAGGTACAACTGGAAAGCATCCCACAATTGCACTTAGGAAGAGATCTATAGCTGATTTACTCTTCCCAAATAACCTTAAATGAATTGTAATACATACTAAGACTTTGTGATCCTTGAGAAATAGAGTTGAAGCACTTCTCTAGATAGTACACTCTAGGCCCATCACTTCAAATATATCTGGTCTTGAGTTCATTCCATACTTCATATGCAGAGAAAATGTATAATAGACTCTAGCGTATATCTTTGCTGATTGAATTCAACAGCCAAGATAGAAGTAGATCATTTGCACGAACCCAACAATTGTACATGACTCCAGCTGATGGATTTGGGGGTTTCAGGGACCCATCAATAAAACTTGATTTGTTTTTCACACTCAATGCCATGGAGACTGACTGGCTCCAAGAGGTGTAATTATCACCATTGAAGATTTCACAGACAATCAGTGCACCAGGATTGTCACTAGGATGTAGATAATAAGGGCTGGTTGGATCATCGGCAAGATTGAAAAGTGAATTAACTAAGCTTGACATATTTCGAGTGGAAATTGATGGGTAAATGGAAGAATTTCTTATTTGCTCTGATACCATGTGGAAATTTATCAATTCAAACTATATAGAAACCTCCCATTGCAGGAGCTCGAGAACAAAGAAAATTTGATGAAGAAGGAAAAAAAACTTTATTAATCAAGCTCGTGCTTTTATGAATTACATTTGGCTATTTATAGACAAGCCAAATAACCAACTAACTTTTCTAACTAACTCACTAACTGAATTAATTACTTAGCTGACTGAAATTTAAGCTGAATTAAGTTTTTGGTCTGCGTCTTCTTCTGGAGATTTCTTTACTTCTTCTGATGGTTTAGCTGTATTGTAAGAATTAACAAATTACCAAAACTTAAATCTACGGACTCTATTATTTAATTTAATTGAGTATTTAATTTAATTTAATTAATATATATATATATATATATATCTCCAAAGTTAATTGGATTTAGGACATAACACTTATAGTTAACCTATGCTGGCTGTGCATCACATTTTTTAGACTGTTTTCTAATGTATTCTCTATTTTTCCTGCTAATGCTTTTGGATTCCTCGTTAGATGGTCATCGAGTTGATTCTTTCATCTATCCATATTCTTTCCTATAGTAATTGATATGCCTTCACCAAGTGGTATGTCCTCAATCGGGTGATGGCATAACTTCATATTCGATGCCCTAAACACTATTGATCCCTTGTACAATCCAAATCCAAACTGGAGTTAGAAACTTCATTACTAAATGGTATATTAACACAATGGCTCGAGCTTGATTGAGAAGTGGTCGAAAAAGATTACATTGTAGCTAATGGGAGTCTCTACGACCTGAAAGAAAATAGTCATGATCTGTAGAGGTTTGCTTCTAGGGTGATCGAGAGCTTGATGGTGCCTTCAAACTTAATTTTACCTTCCACTAACTCTTAAAGCAGTATCCAGATTGGTTATAAGCGATCTTGGGATTAGTTCATTAAGGCATCATAAGACAACACTCCAATAGCAATTCTGTTATCTACTAGTATCTTTTTAACCTCGAAGTTTAATATGATTATAGTGGTAACCACCGCCTCAGCACGTGAAGTGGCCCATTATGAGTCTTTCTTCTCAAATATGAGGCTGACGTTAGACTCCTTTGTCGAGCTCAAGGCTGTAGATTGTGCATATTGCTTGTTGGCATTGTCTGAGTCTTCATCAAATGTAATGTCTCCTATGATCATGTTAATTATGCTTGTTGCGGGCTTTATTAGGTTTTCCTGGCCTTTTCTTTTGGTTAGGGTCTCATTTGGCCAGTTTGTCATTGTTGATGGATGATCTTAGGAATCCTCTCTTAATCAAAGCTTTTATTTTCACTATAGGGTTTTATAATTCTCTATATTGTGGTCGTGTTTCTTGTGAAAATCATAGTACTTGCTATTATCTCTACTTTCCATGGGTGACATAATCCTTTGAGGCTACTTAAGGTCATTCATGTTCTCGATCTCCATTAGAATGTTTGACCATGAGGTGTTCTGGGTTATGAAGCTAGCCCCCAAGCTACTTGACCTCTATCTCTAGTGTGGAGCCTCGTGCTTTGCATTGGTTGATGCATTGATCACATTGGCATAGATTAGTCAAGTCCAGAATGATCCACTTGCACTATGGTTGATATTGGCTGATGGATCCTAAGCTTGGGAATCAGGAGGTCCTTCGACATAGTTGTTTAGGGATGCAGGTAAGACTCTTTGTTCAATGGATTGAGCTATGGAGTTGCTTGAAGTTTTCGAATGCTGTTGGAGTTACGAGAGGTAGAGTTGATTGAGGTGCTTCAGGATCTTGTGGTACCATAAGTGGTGGAGGATAAGTGATCGAGACATCAATGTTGGCATTGCTCGACAGTCGTGAGAGTGTTTTCACTAAAGCTTTTGGTAGCGATTCCTACAAACAATACAAATGATGCTGTGAAATGTTGAACATATGAATGCACAGGCTAAAACTCTAGGGGGACGAGCTATGATCACACTAATAACTTCCTTGTACTTGTTTAAGTCAGAAAATTGGAAGAGAGTGTGAGCTTGAGGCAATAAATTGAAAAATTTGTAAATCATATTCAATTGTGAACGTAAGACATGTATTTATAAAAAACTATAGTATGATTGTAGAAATTGGGTTGCTGTTTTTGTGAAGTGCAACCCATTTACGTCCAAAGCCGGCCCAACCCATGACCCGGTTTAATGGCCCAGAAGACAGAAGAATCTGAAAGCTAGAACTGATTTAAAACAAAATGTGTTTTCTGTTGTGTAATAACAACTTTCACCAGATTTCGACATGTGGCAATTGCTGGACTAAAAAGTCTAGGGTTTGTGATAATTCATTTTCACGCGCAGCTTCTTTGAGTTTAAAAAAAATTCTCTCTGTTCTCTTTTAGTTCTCTCTTCTTAGATCTTGTCGATCTTCTGTTGTTGGTTGAAAGAAAGTGTGATTTAATGAACTCTTGTGTGAGTTCATCGTGTTGTTGAGGAGATTTTGTTGTGCTGTGGTTGGAACTGTGTGTTACGTTTGTAACTCGAAGTTGCTGTGTTTTAGGTCGGTGATTTTAGTGGATTCGAGCTTATTCCTTCATGGATGCTCAATGGGGACTAGGCGATCTAACCAATCGCTGAACCTCGGGGCTTCGGCCGAAAAATCCTTTGTGTTCTTTACTATTTTCGTTCAGATCTACAAATCTTGATTTTAACTTTGTGAACTTTTGGTGTTTTTAAACATCACCTGGTACCTATAGTGGTATCAGAGCTTAGAAATTTTTTTTTCTTTGTTTTCAGTCCTCTTTAGTCGAGGGTCTGAAACTTGAGTCACCGGCCGAAAAAAATGAAGGTCTTAAAAGATCTGCCAACATTCTTTTGAAAAAAAAATATTTTTCGCGTAAAAGTGAAATTTCTTGGCACTGTTAAGTGTGCATCTTTTTTTTTTTTTTTTTTTTTTAACTTTGTAGTATTAGTGTGGGTCTCGAATTTTTTGAAAGAAACCGAAGCTTCTTGGTTGGTTTTGGAGTTCTCTTAACTCCAGTTGGTGCTGTTTTAAAAACAGACAGAAATTTTTGGTACTCTTGGTGTTCTTGCACTCTGCAGATTGTGGTGACTTTTTTTTTTTTCAAAATACACAGTGACTTTATGTTCTCTTGTACCCTGCAGTGTTGGTGTTGATTTCCTGCAGTGTTGGTGTTGATCTTCTTTTTACAAAATAAACAAACTCTTCGTGTATTCAGTAAATTCTGCAGTGTTGGTGACAACTTTGAGTATATTGTGAGCTATACAGTTGTTTTTTTTTTTTTGGTAATCCTGGTCTTGGCAAAATTCATAGACATTTTTCTTGTAGTGTTGTGTTACCTTCAGTATTAAGGAGAGTTTGTTCTTGTGAAATAATCACATGTTTTTTTGTAGTGTTAGTACCTGTAGTTCGTGGAAGTATTATTTTTGGTAATAAAACTGTGTTTCAAACTTAGGGTTCCATTGAACCTCCCTTAAATCTACCTTTGTCTAGGGTTCTTTGAGAGAATCCTAGAATCTTTGGGGATTAGGGCTTCGGTTCATGAAACCTGTAATTTCTAAAACTGATTTTTTGAAACTTTTCACTGTGTGTGGATAATAAAATCAAAAATTATATTTCCACATTTAAATTGTTGTACATTCTATGTGAATTGTACTAATACTTACATTGACCTCCTCAGGGTGTTGAACTGCCTTAGAATAATTGCTTCAAAAGTACACACATTGCAGTTACTCCTTTGGTAGCTTACTGTGTGTAAGTTTATGTGATTGAATTCCATTGCATGCTTAGTGATCTGTATATTGACCATGTCTTAATCTGTGTGATATACTTCTGTACACATCACACCTAGGCACAACATATACATACTCTGAAATTGGAATAATAAGACAGTGATCTTTGTGACATACTGTTGACTGAATTACTATTGTGATATATTTGTTTTATCATACTTGTGAACAATTTCACACTTCTGCACACCATAAACTCTAAGGTAGATGTCCAAATTTGGGACAGCAAATAAGACTTTAGTCTTTGGCGTCAGAAAATGAAAGCACTTATGTTACAGTTAAAATGTGCTAAGGCCATTGATGAATCTTGGCCAGAAACCCTATATGATGCTAGGAAAACTGAACAAGATGAACTGGCTTGGAGCACTTTATTTTTACACTTATTCGACTCTGTGATTAGGAAAGTAGGAAAAACTAAAATTGCTGTAGAATTGTGGACTGCCTTAGAA